CGCGTGCATCAGCCATGACTGACCGCCGGTGCCCGCTGGCGAGGGTTCCGCCTGAGCCCACCATACCCCGAAGAGGGTGCTCTTGGTAGCGGAGGCCACCCACATGCGTGTGGTCCTGCCCCACCACTACCCACTCTCCTTCATCCCATAGCCCTGAAACGGCCATGACTGGCCGAGGGGAGTTGCATCCGACCAAGCCGTGGGTCCGACGCGAGGCCATCTCGGCCGCTAACCCGCCCTCCCCCCCCCCCCCCCCCCCCCCCCCAGTCGTCGGCCGTCACGACGGGAGGACGGCAGCGCTGTAACATTGGGACGGGCGGCCCGCGGAGACGCAACAGCCCGTCCTAACGACCCTTATCGCCGGCTCGCTGTCTATAGTGGGAGTTGTGGCAAATAAAAGTCGCCAGAGAGGCACTGCTGCGGGTTCAGTATTGGCAGTCGCTACGTCATGACGTGCAGAAGTTGCGTGTCGGGTTGGATTACTGAGAAAAAAACCGACAAAGCCGATGAAGTATAACTATCCATTTTTCAGCCAAACGCATCATTGATATTTCAGCGGGGCGTAGATGGTATCCACAAATGCTGTCCCACATGCTCAAACCCTTACCTTGAAAAACGTCATGGTACCACAAGGGACGTTGGTTTGCGAGGCATATTATCAGCACATCGTTTCGCATTCGGATGCAGACGTCACGCAGGCTGAGGTGACCTCAAAATAAATTTCACGCCACAATTGTAAGCAAAAAAGTTCACCTACCCATGTGATTTCCACGAACGTTCCTCGCTTCATTCGGAGAAGGGTTCTGTGCATTCTGTGCGTTCTTGCAAAAGGAATGCTCATGGAGCACCACACGGTCCCATTGCATTACATTGTGTCCAATGGAATGGCTGGTTGGAGGAATGAAACTATCACAATAACCTTTGGGTATTATGGATCCACATGACAACTCTCCGGTAGTATTACACGAGCTTCAATCGTTAAATATCATACTTACAACCACCTCGATCAACAGTAAGTGCGCACTCGAGTTATTGTGAAACATCAACCGATATGTCCTGCAAACTGTGCCGCGAAGCGTAATAATGACCGATCGAATTGCAACAGCGTAGGATTAATTTGGTCCGCACTGCGCGATGTCACTCACCACCCCGGCGCCTATACTCCGCCAGCTGAACAAACCGACCACCCTCGCTGGACTTAGCTAGGCTCGCCAATATCCACGAGCGCAACATAAGCACATTACGAAGGAAAGCGCATCAGACTCTCCCGATCCCGACTCATTCCGTCCGATTTCACGCTCTGGCGAGCCAAGCCGATCCCCCCGGGTGCCACGGCCAACAGAACTGGACGTGTGATCACGTGCGGCAGAGAGCGTGGCATCACCGATGGCACGGGAGGATGAGTGGCCACGGACGGCAGAGAGCGTGGCATCACCGATGGCACGGGAGGATGGGTGGCCACGGACGGCAGAGAGCGTGGCATCACCGATGGCACGGGAGGATGGGTGGCCACGGGCGGAGTGGCCACGACGGCATCAGAGAGCGTGGCATCACCGATGGCACGGGGAGAGGATGAGCTGGCCCAACGGGCTGCGCAAGAGCGTGGCATCACCGGATGGCAACGGGAGGACTGAGTGGCCACGGGCGGGCAGAGAGCGTGGCATCCAACCGATGGTACGGGAGGATGAGTGGCCACGGGACGGCAGAGAGCGTGGCATCACCGATGGCACGGGAGGGTCATGGGTGGCCACGGCAGGCAGAGAGCGTGGGCATCGCCGATGGTGAACGGGAGGATGGGTGGCCCACGGCGAGCAGAGAGCGTGGCATCAACCGATGGTAACGGGTGGATGAGTGGCCACGGGCGGCAAAGGGAGAGCGTCATCATGGGGCACACAGAGCCGCGCCGCCTCAGGCGAAAGACGGGCCACGGGCGATGAAAATGGGTCTGGGAAAAATGGGTCTGGGAAAAAATGGGACGGGCCCATCGCCACGGGCGATGAAAGGGGGTACGCCGTTACGGAGGGCAAGGGAGGATGGGCGGTCACGTGCTACAAAGACGACGCCTTCACGGACGACGCTGGAGCATTTGCTGCCACTGCCATTGATAGAAGGGTGTCTGCCGGCACCGGTGGCCAAGGTGGTGACAGTGGCACACGCGACAGAGTGGACCCTGACGTCAGGCGAAATCGGTAGAGGGAGACCCAGCCCGTGCCGCCGCGGCTGGGCCGTCGCTCACCTCCTCTGGCAGGGGCGCCGCGCCGGCCGAAGCGGCGGAACCGCAGCCCACTGCCGCGCCGCTTCATCGCTACCGACGGCGGAGCCGCGCCGACGGAGGCGACACGTCGGCCACTGGCGGCAGCGGCGCGGCGGCGCCGGCCCACCGCCGACGCACGCACCGGGCCGGCGGCCGCGGGGCGACCGGCGCCGTCACCGGGCCACATGGCCGCGCGGCAGAGCGGTGCTGCGAGCTCCCTCGGCTGGGCACTGCGCGGTCATACTGAGCCCGCTGCACAGCTCCGTCCGGCCGACTCGGCAGGAGACGGGGAGACGGGGAGACGGGGGAGACAGAGCGCCGCGTCCACACACAGCCGGCGGCGGCGGCGGCGGTACCGCCCGGCGTCGTCGACGTCGCGGCTCGCCGTCCGTCGTCTCAAGACGAGCCGAGCTGCTCACGCGCCGCGCGTCGGCGGCGACGGTCGGCAGCACGTGGCCGCGCGCGGCTGGCAACGGTAACGAGCGGCGGCCGGTGACGCAGGGCACACGGCCCATCGACCCAGCGCGTCGCCCGGCTCAGAGGCCGCAAGGCGCGGCTGATGTACGAGGCGCGCTCCTAACGGCCACGGGCCGGCGCGTGCCAACGGTGATCCATAATGCGGCGCGCGCTTCGGGCGTCGCGATGCCGCGTCGGCGCGACACTGAGCGATTCGCGCCGCCCACGACCGCGACAGCCGGCCGGCGAGCTTGGAATGCCGCAGCCGTTCCCACGACCGCCGCCTTGGCCGGCGACCGACAGATGGACGCGAGGCTGGCGATGACGACGCGGCGCTTGATCTCGAAAAGGCCGCCACGCTGTGACCGGGGCGGTTCAGTCTCACGGCGGCGGCTTCGGCTTCACGGAGCCGCACTGGGTCCCGTGAGACTGTGGGTCGGCAAGGTCCCGCTGTGATGTATGGAGAGGGTAGTCCTCATGCTGAGGCGAGCCCGCCGACGGAGGTCAGCGCTGGACAGTTAGCTTAATATCCGTCAAGCTCGCCGACGGGCGGGCGTGGTGCAGCCGTACGAAATTAGAGATGGTGTCGAAAATGACAGCTATTGAGGGCTAACATCGCTCAAAATCCGGGCGCCACATCAGAAAACCTCATGAAGAAGAATTACCAACCCTCTACAATTCTGTTGAACAGTTTTATAACCAAGCCCACTGGCAGCCAAACAAATGACAGTGCAGTTATCGGCAGAGCGTTATGCAGATTTAGTAGTCATAAACTAAGCGTACGCATAATGATTCTTGGAGCACAGCCAGCAGCGGCGCAGCCCGTGCCAGCAGTCGTCGCCCCAGGCCGCCCTCTACCCTCCGGGCAATAACTGCGCATCGTGTGACCCGTCGAGCGCGACCGGCGCTAACCACATGACTGGCTTGTCAGCCATGGCGACAGCCACTCCTTGCCGCAACCTGCCCCCCCCCCCCCCCCCCTCCTGGCCTGCTGACCAGCACGCTCGCATCAACTCGGTTAGTCTTCAAACAGCACCCATCCATCACGGAGCGTGCCGCATCCATCGTGGCTGAGTTCACGCGATACTGATAAATCAGCTTGCAAATGGACGCGGCGCAACGTCCCGAAGCGTCGGGCACGACTCACGCCACTGCTCGAAAGAGCTGAGGTACACAGCGGCGACGCTGCGAAACACGCATCACAGCGCACCCACTGGTAACAGCAGTCGCGTAGCTAAACCGAGCGGGCTGGTGCTAGTGGTGGGGGGAGAAGCACAGGTGCGCCAACTACGACCAGCGTGTCTGCGATGAGCGTCATCGCGCGCACGCCCGCATCGACCCCTCTGCGTCGCGTGCGAGTGGTCACACGCAAACAATCAATGTCTGCGGCAAAAACGGCGGATCATCTGCATACGAGCGGTGGTAAGCAGAGGCCTACCTCGTGCTTCCGCAGTGCCGCCGGCTATCTGTAAATTAGCCCCCTCCGGGCGTAATCAACTGCGGGTGTCGTGCCACGGTGGGGGACAATCGATGACGGGCGAGCGATTAAGCGTTATTTGCGTAGCTCGCCGCACGCGACCACAGCTGCTCGGGAGAAGCCGGCGGGGGCGCCGCCCAGTCCCGGCCCGCCAACACCGGCGCGCGTGGGACGGCCGGACACTGCTGGAATCTTAACACTTTGGCAGGGAACTCGACCCTAATAAATTTGTACTCTGGACTTCGTACAGGAAAGAATGAGCTCCCGATGTTTGCTTATCATCCTTAGCTTTTGAGTTGTAAATTCTGCTTGAAATAGAGCTTCAATGAAAAGTTGCATCGTTCTTAAAAAGCAAAACAGAAAAATGGTAACGCATCTTACGGGGTTTTGGTGAAATTTACTGCGCAATGTTAACAGGACCTGGAAGAGGATTGTCATTCACACATTGCACGTCATTTTCTAGGTCATTTCCTAGACGGGAATAGAACGCACATTATTCCCATCTGCAAACAAGGTGAAATAGACAAATGTGTCAATACGTCTTCTGCAGTCTGCACTGTGTGCAGTCTGTTTTGCAAGTGAAGATTCGTGCATTGTGCCTTTCAGGGCATCGCCAGTGTAATGTTAAAAGGCCCAAAGCATCGATAGCGAGATGTCCTCATGTCTGTCATGATGTCTCGCAGACCTAGGTTTTAACATCTTAGTGTAGTTGTGAATAGCTGCATACATGGATCATGCAGTCGTTTTGAGGTTTTCTTTTGTTGCCACGGCACAATAAGCGGCCCGTGGTGTTAAAGTTCAACGAACACCAAGCCCGAGGTCATCGTTTATTCATGCTCAATAGCGTTACAGCTGGGAACAGGTTCCGTTCGGAAGTAGAACGCAGCGTCAAGTGTGCATGTAGGCGGAACCTTACATCATTACCCGCATTAACCAGTAAGGACAAGGCAGGCGTCAAATAAACACCCGCGCGAGTGCGTGCTAACACTATTCAGAACCCACATACTTCTCATCGTTATTGATCAATAACCTGTAAGGAGACAAGCCCGGACTGCATCAGCAGTGTTATGTATCCAACGCAGATCCTGTGCAGCCATGTCTTCATTACGGACACTGTCGCCACGACAACAGAGCGAAATCAGAGCACGCCCCCTGCATGCGGCGGACCAGCAGACCAGTGCACGCGAAGCCGCAAGCAAGATTTACGCGATGGGACGCATGCTAGCACGTGCCAGTGCGCTTCCACCACTTGCAACGTTCGTTGTTGCACATCTGCGGCAAAACCTCCGCAATACGGTCTCCTGCCGAACAAAACCAGACACGTAACCGTTCAGTGGTACTACTAGTGGTAATGTCTTCGACACATTGTCTTGAAATCCGTTCGGAGGAAATCCACACCAAAGCACCGCTTCCTGCCGGATCGGACAATTACGACGCCCCTTATGAACACTGCCTTGATTTCCTATGTTGCAAGGCTATGCCTATTGGCAGGTCAGCATTCCGTGACAGGAATAACATTTAAACCTCCAGTGGACGCCCCGGAAGTTAGTCGATGGCGTAGATGAGCTTGGGCAGGATAAGGCTCAAGCGACCAGGGCCTGGAACGGAAAGGATCAGGCATCAAGGACAGCGGTGTGAGATGCAGTTGTGTTGGCATCTGTAACATATTCCTTACGCAAGAGAGAGTGAGAAGCGCTCATTTTACCACTGAGACGCGGCAAGGCAAAACTAGAATTTGTTTTAATAGTCAGACATTGTTCATATTTATTTTTGCTATTCCCTTAATGCTTAACTCATCCGTTTCGCAATATGTGACGCAATATTAGGAACAAAATTTGAGGATTTACAGATTGTGTGTCAGGCTTGATGCTCCATGCATCTACTAACTAGAGAAAAATGACAAAACTCGGACGGCACGAAAAGACTTGACCGAAACAATGCAAAATACTCCGGCTTCCGGTAGCGGGATCTGCTACTGGTTTTAGCCCTATCCGTGAACGCCGACTTTGTCAAGAAATGCTAATGTGTCAGTGCACAAACCTCATGTTTACGTGACTTCGTATACGCAAACGGAGACAATAACTTCGCCTCAGACCTGGTCGGGAAGAAGTTCTTCGAACTCGAATCTCCAAATCACAATCCCCACTCTGCGGCCGACACGCGGCAGCGCCGCGTACCAGACCCGCCACATCGAGGCACAGCCGCTCGTAGCCAGCATATGACGGCAGTACAGCATTGCACAACCCCCTCCTCCCCCACCCCACCGGGTTACAACTGGACATAACAGACACTTGGCACAACAACAGTTTTGAGAAGTTCCAATGAAAGATTTTGCGAGGGGAACTGGAGCTGCGCGACCGTTTCAGCCAGTTTCAGACAGCTTTCGCAGTTCTCAAGTGAGCTCTTTTCGACGCCTGTAATACTGTCTCTTTGCATTCAAAGCTGTAAAATAGTCTGCGTAAAGAGAGGACATTAAGATTCTCACGACGAAAAGTCGCACGCAATTCATATTCGAATCCGCAGCGTATATAAATGGGTGCTTACACCCACTACGGCTTCCAACGCCCGTTCCGCAGGGATCGCTTCAAAGAAGCTCAGCTCAGCCCAGGTCTCGATCGAAGCCGCCGATTCGCCCGTGACGTCGCTGGGACCGCGGTGGCCCCGGTGTTTTGGCACATGAATGAAAATAGTTGCTTGCTTTGTTCAGTTCGCTACATGAGGATATGGGCAAAGCCGGATTAGTAAGTCGGTGTTAGGGCGTGTGGTTGTGTTGCAACTGATTTCGCAAGTTGAATTTTTGGAGCTGTTTTTTTTTTATTAAACGGAAGTGAAGCCCATGCGCATGCTTTCGTTCGCATGTTCTTCTCCGCCATGTTGTTGAGCGTGCGGCGTGCCACTGGCTCTGCGGCGGCGGAAAGCACGAAAGGTTCACAAGCTGCACTTTCTGAGTCCCGGAATGCACAGGCGAAAGCGGACACTGTTCGAGCCAGTTGTTTTCTCACCCAATCGGTTTCCCCGCTAGGAATTACCATAATCGACCGTGAGCGTCGCCGCCGCGTGGACCGCTTTGGCTACTGGCTGCTTTTTGCATGCGCTTTGTCATGGTGCGACGCCCGCGTGCGACACTAACTAGAATGTTGCCCAGTTTTTGCCGTCCAGTCCATCAGAGCTAAGAGGAACTTCTGGAAGTAGAACATGGCGGAGGAGGCTTTCAGGGTAGGATCAGTCTCCATTGCCAAGTCCATGCGTCCACTCATGACCCATATCTCGACGCGTGGCGGTCTCAAAGGCATCAGGTCGGTGCTAGCAAGTAATGAGTGGGGCAAACTGGTGCTGATTTTCCCTTAACCGGTGCCACTTACGGCCTTGCCCGGTGCCGGCCGCCCGCTGAAGGCGTTGCGAAAGACCGGGCAGTGGTGCGCACTGACACGATCGCAGGAAAGACAAGATCGCAGTAATCCGCTGCAAACTGAGAAGCACCGAATACGCCTGGTTTGCCCTTACTTGCCATATTTGTCGATGATTTGAAGCTTATTTCATTGCCCTGGCATCGCCACAGTCTAATAGGTGCGCTTGTTTCCCCATCTGGTGCCAATTCGCAACGGGGTACAGCGTACGTCGCAGTGTACGTTGTACGTTGTGTGCCTCTTGTAAGGTGTGACGTCGTACACCCAGAGTGTACCCGGTAATACGCGGGCATGCAGTTTGGCCGGTAGCCGGCAACCAAGGGCCTCGTTGCGTGACACGCCAACAATTATGTTATTGGCATAAACATGATACCCGCGGGACGTTCTCGTGGATGTTCTGTGGCCAAACAACACCTCCGAATATCCGTAGGGTGTTATGCCGTTCACAGCGGTTGGGGACATCAAATCCATGCATGTACACGTGACAAAGTGTTGCCATTATGGGTCTTTGAATCGCATTTTTCAACACGGCAAAACTCGCGGCTCGCATTACCATACCACAAAGCAGTGGCGTTCTAGCACGTACCGTACTGTGCTATCACTACACTATCTGACACCGCTCGGGCAGATTACATGAATTTTACTGCTTTTGACGACGTGAAACGGTCTTTTAGAAACTGGAGTTAACGGACTTGACGTGAGATATGTTTATCTGCCATGTACGTCTACCGTAAGGCGGAAACGTATCAGTTACCTGTCAACTGACGCACTCTTTAAGCTTTGACAATTGCCACAGTTTATTGATGTAAGCAGTGGTCTACCTTAGACATCAGCTTAATCATGCCTTGCAGGGCCACCATACTAAAACACTAAACGTTAGTGACATTCAAAATGTTATTTACATTATCATTAACTCATCAAATTGCCACGTTCGACATGCAAAAACGTAGTATGGTTTGGTATACTTTGGTTTTTGCCAGTTTCTGCCGTCTCTTTCTCTGTCACTTCTAAGTTTTGCTAACTGGTTCTAACTGATGAAGACCGGTTGTCCTTGACTGTCCCCACATCTTACTCCCAAGGTGTTTTAGGAGGACACTTTGTTAAGTCATTGTAGTCAGTGGAGTTCAATCAGTGAAGAACTCCGCATATTCCGCCGATGGTTTGGATATGGAAGCGTGAGAGATTTGGCTAAATTCAGGAAATGCGCGGCTCTATACACATACGTATCCAGTCTTCGGGACCCACCTCAAGCTTCAAGAAGCCAAGCAGGCCCGGCTTAAGAATCTCCTCATTCTCGGAGAATCTGCGATGGTGTTATTAGGGATTATGCATAGTTCTCTACGAAGAACGCGCTGGTGTCAAAAAACTATACATGGTCTTTAAAAGGGACTGTATGGTCTCAGATGGAGACCACGACCAAGTGAGGTCGTTCACAAAAGCGTCTCTGTTCAAACATGCCCACGTTATTTTTTGGACTATTAGATGGTCTTTCTCGTTTCTGAGCGCGTATCACGTGAGCACCCACACCGGAACACAGCCGGCCGGAGGGCGCAGTGCTACGGCCGCTTCACGACCACGCGGCACGAGCGCCAGATGCCCCAACAATCAACCAATTACAGGGCCATGGAGCGGCGGCAGGGCACGCTTGCGCCCGGCTCCAGCCGGCGGCCCGCCATCGAACGCTGTCAACGACGGCGGCGGCCATCTCGCCGGCACGGGCCCCCCAGGACACCGGCTAAGCGATGGCCGTCGCGGGGAACGTAAACCAGCCCGGGCCCAGATGAAGTGGCCGGGCCCGCGAGACCGCCGCCGGAGCCGGCAGCGGCGGCGTCGACCCGAGCAGCCGCTCGCCGGCGCCGCGACTCGAGTGGCCCGGCCCCGGTCGGCTCGTGGGAGGCCGGGCACTGCGCCGTTGCACTGCAGCCTCGTCACGACCCTGGCACTCCCACGAAACTGTACAATCGAAGCTCTGATCCAAGAATCGTCTGAATGTCAGCCAAAGCTCTCGCACTAGCGTAGTCGGTCGGGCAGTCGCGCGCTCTCACGCGGTTTGCAGAGTTCTCAACGTAATTTGAATTTCTTTGAATAGCTTATATTGAAGTGTAAAGACATGCACTTTAAACACCAGCAATCAGCCAGGCGCTGAAAGAAACGGAAACGCAGAACTCATGAAGACCTCTTTCATTTGCAAGTTGTTTGCGAGGCTCGAGAAAGCACGCTGAAAGTCCATAACTTCGGCGCGTCTCCTAGCGTAATATTTCGAAAGTACATGCCCGCTGTGAGTACGACACTTTTTCGATGAGTGCGACATTATTTTCTCGGTGTCAAGTGGTGCCGCCAAAGCATCCTCGGCGTCGTGGGCGTACTTGCTGTCCCATGTTGCTGACAGTGGTTCGGTGCACGTGAAACCCATTGCAGCATATAAGAACCTCACCCTTGAACTCAGCTGTGAGAACATGTAATTGCCCGGGATCAGATGGGTACCTGGTTAGCGGCGGAAGGCATACCCGCGCATGACGCAGGGTGCAGTGGCCACGCGCTGACTCCCGCTGCCGCTGGCATTACCACAACCGTCACTTTTTTAAAATGGCGAGGAATGCAAATGAGCGAAGTATTTCAGCCTTACTATTCTGGAGTGAGTGATAGACCACATAGGACCACCGGCACAACACTGCCAGCACAGCGCCATCGGCACAGCGCCAACAGACCGTGGCGCACAGCGCTAGGCTGTGCTGTGCATGTCATTCTTTAAAACCTTGCCCTGTACCACATGTTGCACTATGCATTGTCTGCAACGGCTGCCGGCAGCAGCCGTGTTCCTAAGCTGCCGAAACTCACGGCCGTTCAGCCCATTTACACGGCATCCAACTCTCCCAGAGGATCCAACCAATCTTAGAGCCATGCACCTCGTACCACACCTGAGAAAAATCACTGAACGCATTGCTGACAGGCAGTAGCACATGCCCTCTGTGTTCACCCAGCTGTTCTCCAGCGCACGGCACGGCTTCCAGTGATCTCGTTCAACGGAGACAGCTCTGCTCACCGTCACTGACTGGATGCTGCGAGGTTTGGAGCGAACAAAACACCTCTCTTGGTGCTTTTGTAACTGCGTCGGTCAACACAAACTGTTCTGACGTCACCAGTCATGCCCCACTAATGCTACCGATCATGGACACAAGAGGGCAGCGCGA